CTGGGGCAATAAAACCCGAGGATGGTGGATCCACCATCAGGGAGTGAGGCCCCCAGAGCACCCCAGGCTCAAATAGCTCCCAGAAGAAGCGCCCATCAGAGTCCTAGGCGTGTCAATGACGGCGGCAGGTAGACCAGCTACCAACACTGAGTGGCTAACAGGCCCTCCCCTGGAAAAAATGGCACTCTGGAAGGACAAACACACTTCGCTATTTGGACGTTCCCTGAGAATCAACAATGTGGTGTATGGTACAAGTCAACACTTTGGGCCCTGGACAAGAAGGCCTTGCGCCCATTAAAGAGGCAGATAGCAACCTTTCTATGGAGGAGCGACCATGAGAAATTAAATGTGATCAACCGCGTGGCATGGCACTCTATCATCCAACCTAAAACACAAGGGGGGCTAGGCATTCTTGACCCACTGGCGCAGACTAAAGCACTGGCGGTACAATGGATCAAACGTCTGATTTTTGACCCAGACATCCCCTGGAAAGGGTTGGCTCTGGAACAGATCTCCAGATTGGCACCCCAGACAATAGCAGGGAGCGACCTGCGGATGTGGCTTGAAAATAGGGATTGGCCCATCCCAAGGCCAAGGCTGATACAACAAGGCCTTGACCCCCCCTTCCCCAGACGAGCCGCAAGGGCCGACCTGCGCAACGATCCGTTCTGGCCCTCGCTGCTCAAAACATGGAGGAACCTCCCTCTACCGGATAAAACCTCGTCGGACAAATGGGAGGAAGTAGTGAGGCAACCCCTTTTTGGCAACAGGAGGGTTGTAGACTCAAAAGGACAAACCCTCCACTGCATGGACTCCCCCTGGCAAGGATGGATTAGGCGAGGGGTAACGAGAGTGCAGGACATTTGGGACATGGAGCAGAAGGACTGGATCAGCCCCGAGCAACTAAGACAAAGATTGAGGTACTGTCACCGGCCACAAGAAGCCCTGGAGGTGATAGTGGAAAGGATCCCCCTGGGCTTGTGGAGGATCCTACACAAAGGGCCTACCCCACAAATGTTGGACTGGGTGGTAGTGGAAGGGCAGCAAGGAGAAGTGGGCAGGGTGACCTGCTGTCCCCTTGGAGGAAGCGTGGAAGTACAACTCTTCCAAGTGGGACGGGACAACATAATCCAAACGAGTAATCCGAAAGAAACCATAGAGTGTCAAAAAGAAGTGATTTTCAGAATCAGAGTCCTCAAGGAGAACGAACAAAGCATAGCCTTCCAGCCTGGCTCCCCGATCCATCATTTGGCCTTGGATCCGTTGAAGTGGACATGGACAACCCGTTGGGGGAAGGGAAGGAGAAGCACTCGGACATTATATGGACTAACGGTCAAATACACGTACAGGCTGCTTAGGCCGACAATGAACCTTCGAGACCAGGTAGCGGAACGCTGGAGGAACCACTTAAATGTTAGTAAAGATGATCTAAGACCGATCAAGTGGTTCAAGATGGCCAAAGCAAAACCGGCTAAAAGCGCCTCCCTTCAATGGCAGTTGGAACACCGCTGCCTACCCACCAATAATTGGTTGATAGACAGAACCTCCCTGGAACAGAGAGGCTGTGCCCTCCCATGGTGCAAATTATGCATCAACTCATTCCCATCCAAAAAGCGACCGGAGACGATCGAACACATCTTCTTGCAATGCCCGGGGGCACTCTGGCTGTGGAGGTGGTGGGACAGAATTTGGGGGCAGTTGGAAACAATAGCCCCGTGGCCCTGGAACTGGAAGGCAATCCTGATTGAAATCTGGCCCAAAGACCACATGGACCAGCTAGATGCCTTCACCGACAGCATGTTCAAAACGGGACGCAGGGCGGTGCTCTGGCGCTATGGCGACGACGCTGTACATTCGAAATAGAAGGTGCCAGACTAGAAGGTCCTGAGTTCACGGAAAGCATACAGCAACAGGTTCAAACAGAAATAACTGTGGTATGGGAGGAAGTAAAAACACGTATCAGACTCCTTGACAGAACAAAAGACATCCTAATTGAAATCCAGGAATTCAGTTCATGCTGGCTCGGGGGACCTGATGGGGGGAGGATAGGGAAGGTAGAATGGAAAGGGGAACCCCCTGAACCAGGGTTAGACCAGGAAAAGAGAAAGATAGTAAGAGACTACTGTCTCATATTTAACGACTGGACGCAAGTGGATGCGGCCATCCCCCTAATGCCTGCTGGAGAATTTCCTGAATTTTTCCCTCCCCCCTCCAACTGCCTGGTAGAAATGCAGTGGTATGGAGGATGAACGAAAGAATAGACAAGGAGGGGTCAGAGGAGCCCGTCAATAGCAGCAGGAAGGGCAGCAGAGCTCGCAAATAATAGCAGATATCTGGCGCCGACAGCAAGGTGAAGAGGCTCCTGCCCTGGGCTCCTACCCACAAGGGACGCTGGACCCGTTTTCCAGCTTCTTACTGTAACAGACGCCCTCGTTTTTTAAGGCGAAAATGGAAGACGGGTCGGGGCCTGAGAAGGATGAGCGCCCCCCGCAGGGTAGATTACGGATAGCAGGTTTGATGACGACACCCTGCTCAGTCAATCCCCTGGAACCCAGGGTATCAATGCTGGCAGGAACCCTCTCCATGGTGTTCTGATGTTATTC